GTGCCCGCGGGGTGTGTGGGTGGATGGGGGCGTGCGTGGGTGGGTGGGTTCGGCGGCGAGCGAGGGGGGAAATGAGAAGGAGACGGCCTTCTCAGAAGGCTCAGAAGTCCCCTGGTCTCCTGAGCAGTTTTAGACAACAGAAACTCCGATGGCGCGAGGGCTTCTGAGAAGTCCCGCCGCCTTCTGAGAAGGCGTTCTTCTTCTCATTTCCCCCCCTCGCTCGCCGCCGATGGGTGGGTGGTCCTCCCTCCTCGTCCACTTCTCGAAGAGCAAGGTGTGCTGTGCCGTCTATGTTGTGCAGTAGAAGTGGAGCAGGCTATGTTGTGCAACGTGTGTTTTGCAATCGAGGTTGTGCACTCTATGTTGTGCAATCGACGTGGTGCAGTCTATGTGCTGCAATCTATGTTGTAATCTACGTGGTGCAATATATGTGGTGCAAACGACGTGGGTCAATCCATACGGTGCAATCTATGTTGTGCAACGGGGCGGCGGCGACGGGACGAGGCGGCGACGGCGTCGACACAGCCGCCAGGCCGCCAGGCATGCCCAGCTCCTTAAAGAAGAGATACGAACCCCTAAGTGCAAGCACTGTTTTGGAGAACGAGAAACTGAGCATCGTCTAATGGATCCCTATCCCCATTGGCGTGGCCTGGGCCCCACTACCCGATTCAACCCCCTGGATGGGGAAACATGCTGTTCCTTTTGGGCTTCGAGGGGCCTATTTCCAACTTGGGTGGTGGGATTGTGGGGCTGAGATACCATTGGTATGGTGGGGATGGGAGGTACACGCGGATTTGTTTAATCGGCGCTGGCCCCCCCCCTGGCGGCGCCTCCCGAGTCGCTCGTCCCGCGCTCCGCGCGCCAGGGAGGGGGGTCCAGCGCCGATCCAAGAACTGCGCGCGGAGCTCCGACCGTTTATGCGGATGCCGTTTTTCCCCCCGTTCCTGGGGGAGGAGGAGGAAGAGGCGGAGGAAGAGGAGGAGGAGGAGGAGGAGAAGGAGGAGGAGGAGGAGGAGGAGGAGGAAAAGGGGAACAAGGTGCCGATCCCAGGAAAGCGCGCGGAGTTCCCGTCGTTTATGTTAGCGCCGTTGTTTTTTTGATCTTGGCTGCCTCGTCCTCCTGGAAGAGCACGGGACGCGTCCATGCCTACGAGGCATCAAATCCTCCTCCTCCTCCGCGTCGTCCTCTCCCTCCCTCCCTCCCTCCCTCCCTCCCTCCCTCCCTCCTGTCGCAATCTTGTCTCCCCCAACTTTCCCTCCCCGTCGTCGTCGTCGTCGTTGTCGTCGTTCGCGCTGCCGCGTTTGCTCGTTCGTCCGTCCGTCCGCCCGTCCGTCCGTCCGTCCGTCCGCGTCGTCGTCGTCGTCGTCATCGTCGGCGTCGGCGTCGGCGTCGTCGCCGCCGCCGCCGCCATCGTTCGTCTTCGTCGCCATCGGGGTTTGGTGGCTCTTTATTTCCAATTGTTCGATTGCGTGTCGGAACATGTCATGCGCAATCTCAAGCACAAGTGGTCTACACAGCAGTTTAGTCTGCAATTGCAGCATCGGCATGAGTGATTCACCAATCTTCGATTTGCAGACGACATGGTTCTGATTGCAGAATCGGTGCGACACATCACGGACATGTTGAAAGACCTCCGCGAAGAAGCTGCCAAGTCAGGATTCCAAGTACACCCCGACAAAACAATTTGTTTTTTTTCGCAACGGATGCCAGAGAACACGCAACAAGAGGACGCCCAACAACGTAGTGGTCAACGGAATGTCAATCGAGGTGTTGCCGCCGTACAGGGCAACAACGTATCTAGGAAAACACGTTCATGTCTCGACAGCATGAATACGATTATTTGCATTACGACAGGAGTTAACCAGCAAGCACTACGCAATAATCAACCTAATCCGTTTGTTTCATGGGACCATATCTCCGACTGTGTTGTACGGGTGTGAAGCATGGACCATGACAGCGGATATGGAGAACCGATTCCGGAGAACGCAACGCCAGATGTTGCGCACTATGCTACGCACATCCAGGCGCCGGGATCAACAAACGGATCCGGACATCCGACCCCGAGATAGCGACGGTCTCGAACCGTGGGTGGATTACAGTCGGCTGTCTACCAAGAAGAGTGAAGAAGCATTGGAACGACTGCAGATCGATGATTGGATATCCATCCAATGGCGACGAACATGGAGATGGGCCAAGAAGGTTTGCAGTTCAGAAGCGCATGAATGGACACCGTAGGCTCTGCGATGGGACCCATTACAAGATCCAATGTGCGGTGCGCGACGGAGAGTTGGCCGCCCAAAGAGGAGGTGGTGTGACGACATCCGACAACATGCCGGGCAACATTGGGTATCTATTACCAGCAGTCCCAAGCTACGTAGGCAGGTCTGCGCCCGAATCTTCGATGTAAGTGTGTATTTGCTACTTTTCTGTTCATTCATGTTGCTTGCGTATGTGCGTTGTCTTGTCTGTCTGCTGATTTCTCTTTAGGTTTCTCACGCGTTTCACATGCCTGGCGCTACGTCGCCCGCCTGCGACGTCCTAGCCGGCGACAGCTGCAGGTCCGATGTCCGCTGTCCGATGTCTGATGTCCGATGTTATGTTCTTGAATTTCGCGCCTCTGCGCGCGCGAGCGAGGCCAATGTAGAATCGCTGTGTTCTAGAAACCCCTCTTCTTCCCCTCCCGTTATCTCCTCCCCAGACCTCTTCCTCGCAGTCAGCAGTGATGAGTAGGTCGACCCTGCCAATTCAACGCCTCCCTCGTGTCCTGTGTTTCGCGACCCATGCCTTCTTAGGTTCCTGTGGAAAGGTGGCCCTCGCGTGTCCTCCCTCAAACGAGTATTGAAAGGAATGGGTCCCAGAGGAACGGGGCTTTGGAACGGTGTTCTGAATTTTCGGCCTTCCCGGGCTCGTGCCTTGGCCCGGTCTCCGCCAAAAGACTGTTCGGGACGAGCAGCTGGTTCCTGGAGAGCATTGGGGCCCACGAGCCTTTGTTTTCCAGGGCCCGCTTCTCTCGTGGCAACCCTCCTCTTCGGGGTCCAGGGGCAACGTGAATTGGGGGAGGATGTGGTCAGGGGGCGATACATCGCCCGTTCATCGCCGCTGGTTCGAGGCCCGACAGCCCAGCCCGCCCAGGACCGTGCGGACTCGCCATCGGGAGCTTATCGCCGATCTTTCCGTGATGTGTCGCCGATTCCTTCAGCTCGATGCCCACCCCCCTCCCTGAGCCAGTCCCCCCCGCGTTCCCCCCACAGGCAGGCTGCCAGGGCCTGGGCTCCGCCAAGCGGTACATACGGTTCGAGGGCCAAGAAAGCGGCATGGGCGTAAGATCTCAGGGGTCCGCGCGGCGCGCTCCGCGTGCCAGGTGTGGAGTAGGAGGTCGACTACCGAATTGATTTACCCAGAATTGGAATTTTCGTCTAATTTGCGAGAAATACGTATATAATTAATATGTTTACGAACATTCCACATATTCCTCATGCAGTGCTTGGATCGCATTGCAAGGGCAGTCATGGAAAAATGGGCACTTCTCCCAAACAGTTCTTGCACTTTGGGCTTCTATTTTTGCTGTAAGGAACTGGGCTGTGTCTTCGGTCTGGCGGCTATGCGGCCGCCGTCGCCGCCCCGTCGTCGCCTCGTCGCCGCCCGTCGTGTGGGCCGTGTCTTTGGTTTGGCGGCTATGTGGCCGCCGTTGCCGCCACCTCGCCCCCTCGTCGCCGCCACAGGTTGCACCACGTAGATTCGTTTTTCAAAAGAAGAGATACGTTCTACCCCCCCCAGGGCTGAATATTCACTTTTTCGTAGTACAATGTTCGTATGATCCTGACCCAATGTCCATCCTACCCGCGAATTCGTACTATCCCAGCTAGGCCAGTATCCCTTCCCCGTCATTCTCTGCAACCAATACTATGTGCGCGCACCCGTTAATCAAACATTGCAAGTTTCCAATAATCGTGTCTGCGAACAATGGGACGAAGTGCGCACGCGCGCGTCGTCGCGCGCGCATGCCGAAATCCTTCAAACAACCGTCGGTTTCGGCACGATGTCAAAATCGTGTGTGTCCAAGAAACATCCAAAAATCACATGGTTTCGCAGCACGGATTATCAAACCAAACATGCCCGCGCGCTCTTGAGTTTTTGGTCCAGTTATATGTATATATATGTATATATCTAATGGTTGTATAATTAATATACATATACATTATATATATATATATATATATATATATATATATATATATATATATATCTTTATACCGATGTATACATAATTATACATATAACCATGCGTTTCCCAATATATTCACAAAGTGTTGCATTACGGGGTTTGCGCGCGTGTCGAAATCGTTCGAACGCCCTTGCGCGCGTGCCGTCGCGAGAATCCCCAGCAACAGATGAAACGACTTGCGCGAGCGCGTCGTCGCGCGCGCATGCCGATCGGTTTCGGAAGGCTTTCAAATTCGAGCATCCAACACACATGCAAAGCACCTGGTTTCGCAACAAGGGCGTTCAACAAAAGCGTGCGCGCGTTTTTGCGAATCCTCCTTTTTTTTTAAAAAAAAAAAACGCACGTTTTTTCAACATCTCCATACCATGCTACCAAATGGGCTTCGCGCGCGGGTGCCGAAGTCGTTCGAAGCCCTTGCGCGCGTGCTGGGGTGGCACGATCCGTGCCAAATAATACCATGCGAACTTCTCTCACTCGTCTGCCGCACGCGCTCTTCGAATTTTTCTCAAACCTTCATCACCGACGCGAAGACGCCGTCATCGTCGTCGGCGTCATCGGCATCGGCGCCGTCAGTGCACGTGCCGTGCCGTCGTCGCTGCCAGCATCGTCGCCGATATCGCTACTATCATCATCATCATCATCATCATCATCATCATCATCATCATCATCATCATCGTGTCCACAATTGTGGACTGTGTCATGATACCGCACCCGCCCAGTTCGCCGACTCGCACTCAAGTGCCCGCTGCGATGGGCCGAACGGTCAGCACCACCG